AAAAAAAAAAAAAAAAAAAAAAAAAAAAAAAAAAAAAAAAAAACCAATTATGGCTTGAAATGATTAAGGGCCTAGGCTACACTATTCACACAAAATAACTAAAGGATGAACTAGAAACTCTACATAGGAACAAATAAATCTGTGCAGTAGATTGTATGGTGCAAAATGCAGACTCCAAATTGTCTAGCCTGGAAGACCAAAACTCTGAGGTGTTCTTGACAAAAATGAAGTACCCAGAGGTTGGGCCCAGAAATTCAGGCTTGTGAATGAGCTTTCTGATAGAGTATGAATAACCTGGCAGAGGGACTGAAAATGGGAAGAGACAGAGAGCTGCCTGAAAGAGCCTGAGAAGGATTTATGAGAGCTAGAAGAACTACCAGGATGTTGCAGCATCTATCACTGAAGACCTAAAAAGGACAAAATTTTAGTACTGTTCAGGTGATCAGTTCATTTATTCATTCATTTAATCATTTGTTCAACCGAACATTCATTAAGTATCTACTATGTGTAAAGATGTTGGGGATACAGCAATAAACAAAACAGACAATGGAGACAGGCAATAAGCAAATATATGAAAATAAATCAGGTTGTGGAAAATATCATGAACAAGAAATAAAGCGAGGTAGGAGATAGAGTGATGGAGATGTTACTTAAGATAGGAAAGTCAGGAGGGCCTCTCTGGGTAGGTGACATTTGAGCACAGACCTAAATGAAGTGAGGGAGTGATTCTTGTGACTATTTCAGAGAGCATTACAGATGAAGGAACACCAAGTACAAAGGCCCTCAGGCAGTAATATGCATGGAGAATTTGAAGATTAGCATAGGCAGGGAGACCAGTTTGGTTGACATAAGAGTAACAGGAAGTAAAGTCAGAGCAGTCCTACACTGTTGGTGGGACCGTAAATTAGTACGACCACTATGGAAAACAGTATAGAGGTTTCTCAAACAACTACAGATAGATCCTCCATCCAGCAATCCCACTTCTGGGTATATACTCAAAGGAATGGAAATCATCATGTCGAAGGGATACCTGCACTGCTATGTTCATCGCAGCTCTATTTACAATAGCCAAGACATGGAACCAACCTAAATGCCAATCAACAGATGACTGGATAATAAAAATGTGGTATATATATATCATGGAATACTACTCTGGCATAAAAAAGAATGAAATTCTCCCATTTGCAACAACATGGATGAGCTTGGAGAAACTTACGTTGAGTGAAATAAGCAAAGTGCACAGGGATAAATACCATATGTACCCTTCCATGAATGGGAGTAAGAGATAAAGAAGAAGGAAAGACCACAGTGGTGCATTGGACTTGCAGAGGGAGAGAACATACCTAGGGATACAAAGTGGAGTGGGAAAAGGCAGATGGGGAAGAAGGTCAGGGATAATTGAGGGGATAATTGGGTGAAGGACATGGGGTATAATCACAATTTGTGGTAATGGACATGCTGCCAGTATGGAACTGGCCATCACATCTTAGGCATGAATGGTGACAATTTGCTTTGTACCCCATGAATATTCATAACCAATAAAAACAAAACATTAAATTAAAAAGGGGGGGGGGACAGTAGCCAGGAGACAGATCCTGTTAAACACTTCAGGCCATAGTGAAGACTTGGGCTTTCAGTCTTACTGGTATGGAAAGTCATTGGAGGGTAGAGAGGAAGGCATTATTGAGGACATAATTACAGGCAAATGCCATAGATAAGCTGAGGAAAAAGAGGGCTAAGAAATAATCACTTTGGCAAGAAGGAGCTCACTAGTATTTTTCCAGAGTGCTTTCTATAAACTGCTTCGGCAGATAGTAACTGAAGGACTGGATCAGTAGTAGGTGAGACATTTGGAAAATTAGGTCATGAAAGAGAAAAGAGTGTGGGAGGTGGTTAAGAATAGTAGGATGAAGTGAAGGTCTTTTAATACAGAAAAGCTGATCAAGTCTGAAGAAGGGAAAAAATGGTTAATTTTTGAAATATGTACAGCAATATTTGCCCAAAATGCATTATATTCTCTGCTAAGCCAAGACTGGCCCCAAGAAGAGTAGGAAGAGGGTCTCTGTGTGTCTACATTTCCAGTACCTGTTTGTGACAATGCTGTTGCTCCCACTCTCCCAGTCCCCTGGTGCTGATGTTCTTAGGAGCTTGTTTTTACTTGTGTCTAGTGGAACTAACAGGTTGACCATGAGGTTTGCAAAGTGAATGGCCTGACTAAAGACAGTGCTTTCCTCATGTTGCACCAGCTCTTGCTGAGTTGATTTGCTCAGACTAGGCCAAAGGCGTAGCTGTTCTGCTGCCAGGTCCATTGCTGTCTTTTCCTGATATTGATCATCAGGAAGCTTATCCTAAAAAACAATAAAAACACAAAGCAATACAATCCAAAAAGAACATCCATCACTTTATATTTCAAAAAACATGAAAGATGTTTTAATCATTCTTCTATTAAATACCTATATCAGCAAAAATGAAAACATACTAGCAAAATATAACGACCCCAACCTAGTCCTCTTTTTCCCAGATCCAACAGTCCTTGAATGAACCCATGTGACAAACCCAACGAAGCAGTAGCATAGCACAGATGGATGTTTCTCATTGCTAACTTTTCACTGCATTTATCTATCTCTATGGCTCCATCCCTTTCCAGCTACCAGTTACAGCAAATTGTTGACCTAATGTTCCTGTAAATACCTGAGCATTTTGGTCTGCCTAGCACTTTATAGCTTGTAAAAAGCTGGTACTTCTATGGTCTCACTTGTATGTAACCTGGGGCTCAGAGACAGATGTCTTTAGAATGGAGGATACAGAAGCCAAGACATGTGTTTGATCTATGAGATAATGCTTTTGAGATATATCCATGTTAGCATTACAGCTGTTTAAAAACTACCAAAAGCACCCTGCTAGCCCAATTATTTCTGGAGCATGACCCCAAGCTAACAGTCTTTGCATCTGCTACAAGTTGCTCCTTAATCAAGTGTATTTGGTGTTCTGAAAGAAAACATATCAATTTCAAATTAAATTAGGCAAACAAGTCATACTTGTTTGTACAATAATACCATGGAATATCAGATAGATGTCAGATAGTGCTATTTGTTATTAAAGTTTCTGTTATACTCAATAATATTCCAATAATATGTCTAAAATTACCTGAGGCATATAAATATTTGAATTCTACTGTGCAGTTTCTGTTAGATATCCAAGTTCATTTATCTCATATGATATAAGGCTAAGTTAAAATGGAGGATGATGGAAAGGATCAGCAGTAATGTACTCACTCAGAATTAAAAATTACTCTTCAGTGAATCAGCATTGATAATCAGCCTTTAAGGTTGCTTTAAGTTCAATTCATGAGAATGAAAGTTTCTAATACCTATTATTTACTATGTGTCAGGCACTCCTCAATGCACTTTACATGTATTAGACATTAAAATATTACAATTATTATATCATATCTATTCATTTTACCAATGAGAAAATAATGCAGAGGGGTAATATGACTTGCCCAAGACCAGACAGCTAGTAAATGACATTTTAAAATTTCAAAATATTTTAAACTACTCTTTCAAATTAAAAACAATTTTCTTGATTTTTCTTTAATATTTCCTTGATATTTTTCTTAAAAATATTTTATACTGGCAAAATACATAGAAACATATAGATAGAATATTCCTAAAAGAAGACCTAAATTCATTACTGGCATATTTTTTAGCAGAACTACTGAATTTTATACTTATTTTAGAGTCAATTAACTTTAATTTGACCTTTCTTTAAGGAAGTTAGTTGCACAGAGACTTACGTCTAGGTACTTTAGTTTTGTTCTTTCTATTCAACTTCCCATAATTGTTTCCAGGGGATTCTTATTTATTAAAATACAACAAAAACAATTCTAGTACTAAAGAACTGTATTAAGAAGTTATGGAAAAATATAATGTCAGAAATCAACAGAAGAAAGACACTCAGAGCAGGGCTCCATAAAGTAGACCCCAAATACACTGGCAGGAAGTGGCTAGATTTCCTTTTGCCCTGGGAATATCTGCATAAGCTTTCCTTAAAGCCAGAATCCTAGCCTTACACAAGTATCTTTCTTCTTTTCTCTCACCTTTTGCTTCAGATGCGGGGCATGATTGTCCTCCTTGGCTGAGAGATACAGGGAACGAACCTGTTCCTGCACTGCATTATAAAAAGTTGTCTCCCAAAATTGCTGATTTGTCCAAATGGGGTGGTCCTGAACACAGGTGTAAGCAAACTGGCTCACTCCAGGGGCAAGTTTCTGTGAGAACACACAATATCCATCACCATGGGGCTGGCAGAGTTATAACAGTTCAGAAGGTCACAGGGGTCACAGTTAACCATAGATGTGATCAAAGGATTTCTCTTAAGAATATCTTACGATAGTATAAGCTTAGCAATCAGCAACTTACTCATCTTTAACTGGCAAACTTGAGATTGCTTTCAAATCTTTTATGGTCTCAGTCACTTTATCAAAATGCAAAACAGGCATTTTAGCAACAGCAAAGACTCAAAGTTATATGAATTAGTGAATACATGAAAAGTACCTAGCACTGTACAGTGCACAGAGTAGGCACTGTAGGTTTGATAGATATTATTACAATTAAGACATATAATAAAATCCATCATAACCTAAACATAAAACTCTAGATAATTTAAAATTTCTTCTACTTGATTTTAGAGTACAATTTTTAAAGGCAATAACTGAAAAGTAAACAAACCTATAGCCGAGCCTAACACACAGAGGAAGCACACATCATGAATTTGGGACTCAGGTGGAATTGCTCCCTCCCTGCTGTCACTCTTATCCCATTACCTCCATACCAAGGCTGCTGCCTGCTCACATACTCCCTAGAATGCTGTCCTGGGCTTCAAGTCCACTTTCTAGAAACCAAATCTGGGCACGGAAAGGTAGCCACAAATCAAACCTCCTTCCTTTCCAGGACTTCTTGCTGGGCTTTACAGTAAGAGTAAACTGAAGAGGTGACTAACAACAGAGAGAAGGTAAACTAACTCTTCAGGTAGGTACTTCATATATATATTTATACATCTAATTTAATGCTAAAAATCTAAGATGCACATTATTAATTATCTCCAATTTAAGGAAGAGAAAACAGAAGTTTAGGGAAGTTTAAGTGATTATCCAATGCCATACAAGAATTACATAAAAGGTGGAACTGGGTTTCAAGGCCAAAGTTTGGTTTCAAAACGTTTTCCCTGCTCTTTTTACTACACCAAATGGTCTTTCAAAAAAACTGAAAGCAAATCATACAATAAATTAAATACCAATTAGCATGGCTGTCTGTTTCTCCCCTGCCCATTTTAGGATTTTGTTTTCTGAAGTAATATTCTGCCTTGAAACCTCTGACAAGCCTTTATATAACACTGCATTTTTTATTTCACAGATAATTTACATTGCCATATTCCAGGAAAGAATTTGAGTTATCTTTCCACAGATGCTGCTTTCATGTGTAAAAGTTAACGATGTTTCAAAATGTTTTAATCCATCTATTTCTCAGCAAACAGCAGGTAACACATTTTGAATAGACTTTTTTTTTGTCCATTTTATTCTTTGGAATAGAGTTTATCTGTTTTTTGAGTAGAACTACAATTTCTAATGACCTTTCTTTTGAAGCAGTTTAATAAACTGAATTCTCTTCTGAAATGTTGGATACAAGATTATTGTTAAGGCTATATACATAACAGTTACACAGTAAAAATTGGCTCATTAATATACCTTTAATATAAGATAGCTGGTAAAAATGCTATGCACAATACATGCCAATTTCCTTCTTGGTCTAGAGCTGCACAAGGCACCATGCATACCTTGAAATGTAGTATTTGTGTTGTTAGAAGTGGGCCGGTTGTGGTTTTGCCTATTAGAATCTTTGTATACTGCATCCCATATGTAAGACTCCTTCAAGTTAGGACTATGTACTGCTGCTGCGGTGATTGGCTACAACTCCAATTCTCCCTATTAGGCGGCTATAAATTGGGGGTGACCATGAAGCAAAAATCAAGAGTTCCCAAGGGGAAAGTGTACAAGGATCACTGTTGGTCCTCATGACTTAAGACACAGCTACTGGGCTGGCCCGGTGGCACACTGCTACAGTGCGCCGCTTGGGAGCGTGGCGGCGCTCCCGCCGAGGGTTCGGATCCCACATACAGACCGGTTCCCGCTCACTGGCTGAGCGAGGTGTGGGAGCAACACCGAGGGTTGCGATCCCGTTGCCGGTCCCGGTCCGGTGCGGGCGCGACACTGAGGGTTGCGATCCATTGCCAGTCACGAAAAAAGACAAAAAGGAAAAAAATATATATATTAAGTAAAATAAGTCAGGCATAGAAAGAGAAATACCACATGTTCTCACTAATTTGTGGGAGCTAAAAACAAATAAATGAGCAAATATACAGACAAACGGTTGGGGAGGTGGGGAAGAAGATACAACAATCACAATGATTCCTTGAACTTGTTAAGACAAGTGAACAGATATGATGTTGATGGGTGGGAGTGGGGAGAGAGAGGAAGGAAAGAGGAATGGGTGAAGGGACATGAAAATCAACTACATTGCTCAGCATTGCTTTGGCTATGCGAGGTCTTTTGTTATTCCATACAAATGTCTGGAGAGTTCTTTCCATTTCTGAGAGAAATGTCTCTACCTATGGGAAATCATGGACAACATGTGTGATTCTGTGAGTGTGTAAGCAGTAGCCACACACACTGTGAATCATCTGCTTCTTCTGTATTCTGAATGAAGATACTTGGGACACAGATTACACCCTTTTTTTCCCCTTTGTTTTTTAGTCCTTCACTCTAAGGACTAACAATTACTTCAGTAGCTGTACACAGGCTCATTTTGAAAGGTATTTTAAAGGCTCGAAATTCAAATAATATAAAAGCATAATTGTCAACTGCACTTCCCATGAGTATAGCCAGAGGTAGTACCACTTCCTACAAATGCAGCACAATGTAACGAATAGCAGCTCTAAAAATTTTGGAGTCCTGAAATTATATTAATGTAGATGAGCTCAGAAAAACTGAGCTCTTAACAAATCCTTATCAGTCTATCACAAAGTACTTTTAGGATAATCAATACACCAAAAAAGTTTTTAATCATAAATCTTTTATTAGAACTTGACAGAGCTCTATAGGAGTCTGAGGGTATAATGAAGCCCTGCCTTACTCCTTCAGCATTTTTCTCACTGATATTGCACATTCACTTTCCTGGACACGTGCTATTTGACATTATCTTCCTGCTTATTCACAAGCTAAAATTAATAAGCAAAAATTTCTCTAAATCTTTTGAGCAAAAGTGGGACTGTATATGTCCCAAGGCAGAAAAATGGTGCAAAACAGAGTGACAGGGGCCCAGAAGGCCAGAACTCAAAGACTACTTACTAGGAGAGAATTAGAGCAGGTTGAAGTGATTATAAGAAAAACATTCTGGTGTTTATCTTATAATAAACAGTCATTAATGGCTATGGCATCTGATGTACACATAAAAAAATCATTAAATCACAAATATTTAAAATATTATTATTTTTCCAAACATGTAAATTTGCCTCCTTTCTTTGTGGTTTTGTGGCTTGTGGCTATGTCTGTTCAACTGCAAGCAAGGGCCACTGTATCCCTCACTGTACAATAGGCAGGGCCACCGCACAGATGGGCAGGTGTGTGTTCAAAACCAGCAGAGGGCAGTAGCACCTTATTCTGCCTAGACTCCATCATGGCTTGAGATAGAAATTGCAAAAATGGAGCCCTGCAGTCTGGTTGGGCTAGAAAGTGGGTGGTAAGGTGAACACTACATATCTTCACTGTACATTTGAGGGACACTATAAAGAAATGGATTTACCCAAGATCACACAGAAAGATGGGTAGAAGAGATGGGTACAGAAATAGGTTTTTTATTACTCTACATTGTCTCTGTTAGATACAAAGATTAAGATATTACATAAAACAAAGGCTGGCCAGTTAGCTCAGTTGGTTAGAGCACAGCCTTGTAACACCAGGTCAAGGGTTCAGATCCCCAGACCAGACAGCCAAAAAAAAAAAAAAAAAAAAAAGAGAGAGAGAAAGCTTTGTGACACCATCCCTTGTGAATATACAAGTAGAAGCAAATATCCTTGAGGAAATATTAGCAAGTAACAATAGATACAAATAATTATACACATGGCCAAAAGGAGAAAGATGTAATAAGACTTTCAGGATTTCAGCCTCAGTATAACCCATGATAGTAAAGAGAAAAAATAAGCACCTGAGGATCAAACTGTCCTAATTGTAATCATTTCTCTAGTTTGTAAGAAAAACTGGTCTATACGTCAGCTTCGTTTTGCACAAAGATGAGATTCAATCTATCCTGAGGGGGTGAGGGTGGTGGTGGTGGTGGTGGGAGGAATGCTGTTGTCAAATGACATCTCTTTCCCTTCAACTCTGGCAACAATATTTACATTTCATAATAATTCTTATGATTCTGTCCTAAAGAAACAAGTGATATTTTGCCATGCAATTTTATGAGATGTTTAAGAATGTGTTGACTTCCGTCCTTATCTAGAAAAAATAGCCCTGAAGGTACTAGATTAAGCAACTCCACTCATTTTCCACAAAGCTTTCAAAGGAAACATATGGCGAATAAACTCGTGGGGCTTGCCAACAAGCAGGCCAGATTCAAATCCAAATAAAGAACACAAATCATCTGAGAGATTTGATGGTCAATGGAAAGGTTAAGATGTCATTATGAGGGGCCTGTCTAAGGCTTGTCTGGCTAGACATGTTTGTTCCCCAGGCGCAAGGCTCCAATTAGGGAGCTCAGAGGGAAACCTGATTTCAGGAAAGAAAGCTAGCTGGCAAGGACTCATTCCATAAACATGTAATGGTCTTCAAGAATAATACAGAATGCAGAGATTTGCTGTCTAAATTGCTGGGGATTTCCTATCTAGTTCTGGTCTCTGGAATACAGTGTGCCTCACTGCACAGTTCAGAGATGGTGCTAGGAAGTCCTGTGATTCTACTATGGCCTGACCAAGTCCAGATATTAAGTCACTTTAAGAATTAACTTTAGAGGATTTTGCTTAGCTTTGGAGGCAAACAAAAGGAAGATATGAGGGTACTTCAAAAAGTTCATGGAAAAATAGAATTGAAATATAATACAAATCCTTTTTTTTTTTTTTTTTTGCAGTTGGCCTGTATAGGATCTGAATCCTTTTTTTTTTTTTTTCCTTTTTGTCTTTTTTCGTGTCCGGCAACGGATCGCAACCCTCAGTGTC